CCCCGAGAAACAGCCCTTTCAGCCTTGCTGATTCCAGCCTCAGCAATCTCTGCTCCACTTCCCTCCTCCTATCCCTCCAGGCCCCCTGACCTTGTTAAGCAGCAACTCATCCTGAAGTTTCTTCATGTTGGCGATCTCCTCGCTGAGTGAGTTCTGTGGGGACAAGTGTGAAGTGAGGGAGTGGGCCTAAAAGGGACTTTCTCTAGGAGCTGCAAGCAGCCGGCAGCAAACAGAGACAGGCCTGAGGGGACCCAGGAGGAATGGGGTGGGCACAAATAGAGTTGCAAGGGAGTGGGGGTAACGGGGCCAAAGATGCATCTAAAGAAAGAAATCCAGAGGATTCAGGGTTTGAGGGTCCATAGGGTTGGTGGTTTTGGGAAATGCCAAGGATTCAGGGTACAGATGCCCCCAGAATTCAGCTCTTGGCTGTTTAGACCAGGTGAAAAAGTGGTCTTAGCAATACGGCACAGAAGTCTATTGAATTCGTCATGCCCAGACTTAGGGAGATAACAGATCTGGGGGAAAGTTCTGGAGCCTCAGGATTCCAGCAAGAGGTAGTGCAGGATTTCTGGTTTTCGCAGTCCTAAGTACGGGTGCACCTTCTCCTCCAGCGCCCCCATTCGCTCCTTGAGGTGAAGCTGTAACCGCTCGTTGGACTCGCTCAGTAGCTTGTCCACTGTCTCGGACAGTCGCTTATTGTGGTCATCATTCATCTTCTCCCGCTGCCGTGCCTGCCCAAAGGAGAGCAGGGCAGGGGTGCTCAAGCCCATGTGGCGCAAAACACGGCCCCTGCTCCAAGCCCGCCCCGCCTCGCCCCTTCAATATCAGCGGCACTCCCAGCCTCTTTGCAGTCTTCGGCCTCCTCACCCGCTGCAGCTCCTGGTTCTTCTCCTCCAACTGGGCCTCCAGCTGCCGAAGCCGCTCCTCAAAGTTCCCATGACGCTCTTCAGCCTAGCGGATGGAACCCATGGCATCGGACTGTACCCCGCCAGAAAACAGTCAGGGTCCAGGCCCCGCCGCCTTCAAAGATGGGTGCCAGGCCCCACCCTCAGAACTCCTCCCCTGCACCTGTGATTCAGGCCCTGTCCCGGTGTCTAGTTTACTTTCTCAAGACCTTTTCTACCCCTTTCAGTCCAAACTAGAGAACACCAACCTCTCCCCAAACTCCAGGCCCTGCCCCATAGCAAGCCCCGCCCTTTCCCCCAGAATCCTGGCTGCAGGTCTTGCTCCAACCCCTCCAGACTCAAGGCCCAGTTCCTGTCCCCAGTAGACTGAAGGTACCCCTCCTCTAGGCCCCAGCCCCCAAACGCACCCACCCATACCCCCGACCCGAGGCCCCCCTCACCTTGCTGAGCGCCGCCACGCGCTGGGCCAGCTGCGCCTCTATCTCGGGCAAGGTCTCTGCCTTCTGCAGCGTCTGCTGCAGCTTCTGCTTGGCGTCGTCCAGCCACTCGGCCAGTTGACGGCTCTTCTCTTCACTCTGGGGGAGGGCAAGGCAGGGGAGAAGAGGAGTTAGGTCGCGCGGGCCACAGCCCTAGCCGCATCGCCCTTTCCCAGGTGCATCCCCACCTGCCGGTACAGCGACTCCTTGCTGGCCAACTCATTCTCCAGCTTGTCGTTGGCGTCGTGCAGAGACGTGGCCTCGCGCTGGGCGCTCAGGTAGCGCTTCTCCAGCGTTGTGATCCGCTCCTCCATATCCTCCCGCTGCGCCAGGGCCTGCGGAAGTGGCAAAGGGCCATGTTAACTACAGCTCCCAGAAGCCCCTGTGGTAGCCTCGGCTTAGAACCCCAGATGAGGCACCCCAGGGTATCCTGGGAAATGAAGTCCCCTGCCACCTGGGCATCAGAATGGTGGTACACCTGCCAAGAGCTCCCGGGACTAGCCCACCTTAAGTCCCCTGCTACCTGAAAGTTAAAATGGTGGTGCTACACCTCCCATGAACTTCTAGGGCAGTATTGGCTTAGATCCTCCCCATACAGATGACCTAAGACCCATGGGATGGGAAGGCTCCACTCCAGCCACTCTCCTCAAAAACTCCAGGCCTTAGGTTTCTCAGCAACTTCCGGCACAGCACAGGCTTAGAATCACAGAGCAAGTGCCCTAGGGTCTCATAACCCTAACCTCCCAAGAGCCACCAAGGTAGCACAGGCTTAGAAGAGGTGCTCCAGGGTTTCATGGGAGATGGACTTCCGGCCATGAGCTGTGTGCTGGGACCACACTTTCCAGCAGCTCCCGCAGCCATCCAGGCTTAAAATCCAAGATGAAGGCCCTAGTGGATGATGAGAAATAAAGTACTCGCTCTCCTTTCTCATCCACTGCCTTCAAGAATCCAGGCCCTACATTTCCCAGAAGCTCCCTAGGGCAGGGGGATTAGGATCAAAGGCCCTAAGCCAGGAAGGGGTGATATACCAATGAAAGATTCAATTTAGAGACACAAGAGAATGTCCCGATGGGAACGTAATAACTAGAACCACTTACTGAGCAACTACTATGTGCCACTTCTAAGCTATCCCTCTGATACGGGCCATACATTCCATTTGAGGAAACAAATTCAGAGAGGGGGAATCCACACAGCTCGTGGATTGAATCCAGGTTCCAACTTTCAGGAGCTCTGTGACTCTGTGATTCTGAGCAGAGGGTTACGGGGAGGGAAGAGACAGAGGGCAGCCCACCAAGGGCTCCAGCCTCACCTCCTTGAGGTCGCGCTGCAGCTTGGAGTTAGCTTCCTCGGCCTTACCCAGCTCGCGGTGAGCGGTGCCCAGCTCCTCCTCCAGCTGGCTCATCTGACGGCACAGCACCGCCAGGCGCTCCCGCAGCTGGCACACCTCTGCACGTTGCCTCTCCAGGGCCTCCTCCAGCTCCGTTGTACGCCGGTTTGAATCCCCACCAGGACCCAGGCCATTGGCAAGGGTCTGGAGAGAGGGAGGAAGTGACACAACCGAGGGTGAGGAGCACAGTCTCATAGAGGGAATGCAAGGAGAAAGTTGATCAGCTGAGGTGGTGGTGGGGATCAAATATAGATAGGGATCGTGCAGGTCACAGTCCACAGGGGTCAGCGAGCTAACAGAAGTTAGCTAGGTGACCTGAATCAGAGGTCAAAGGCCAGTAAGGGGCTAACGGGTTCAGATGTCCTAGGGTCAGTGAGGATCATACCAAACAATACGATCATTACAAAGGGGGCTCAGTGGAGGTCACAGTGAAGGGACTTCCACCTCTCACCTGCCCGTCCCCATCCTTGCCCAGCTCTTCCAGCCCGCCCCCTGAGGCCCCGCCCCAGCGCCCCTCACCCGCGTGTTGTTCCGCTCCGCCTTCAGCTCTGCAATCTCTTCTTCCCTCTCCAGCAGCTGCTCCCGACATAAGTTCAGCTCCTTCGTCAGAGCCGCAAACTCCTGTTCAGGCGCGTGCAGGATCGGGACAGTCAGGTCACTTATTTCCTTATCTCCCTCATTCCACGGGATTGAGAGTTTGAAGGCTCCGCCCCTCCCGCTAAGCCCCGCCCCTTGTTCCCCTCAAGCCACGCCCACCGACGACACGCCTCCCCCTCCCCGCGCCAGGTCCCGCCTCTTCCGGACCGCCCTCTCCACCCCAGCCCCGCCTCCCGCAGGCCCCGCCCCCCGCGGGCCCCGCCCAGACCTGGGGCAGAGCGATGCTGAGCTGGCGCTGCAGCGAGTCCTTCTCGTGGCCGAGTTCGCGCAGCCGCAGCTGCGCCGTCGCCAGCCCGTCCTGCGCCTCGCGCAGCGTCTCTAGCAGGCGCTCGCGCTCCGTGAGCATCGTGACCATGAGGCGCTCCAGCTCGCCGCCCGCCTCGTCCGGGCCCAGCGCCGAGCCCCGCCGGCCATCCTCGCTGATGGTGGGCATCACCTCGCACATCATGGCGGCGGTGCTGGCCTGTGGGGGTGGGGAGGAGGCAGGGAACAGAGACCGCTTCGTCAAGGCATAGGCGATAAACTGAGGCACGGCCGCTCGTATACAACGAGTGGGAAACTAAGGTGGGACAATCAAGGCACTGGACAGAAGAAACTGAGGACCAGTCTGATCATGACACAGAAACTGAGGCACTACCACCTGGGCATTCCACGGGGAAACAGTGTTGGCCACTAGGGGCTGCCAGGGAAAACTGAGGCCTGGATAGGCCTTCTAATCATGGCACAAGATAAACTGAAACCCATTGCTCTCAGGAAAATAGCCCTAGCTACCTAGGTGAGAGCATTTGGCGAAACTGAGGTCAGACTCCAACAGGCACTGGCAGCAAATCTAGGCCTGGCCCACTCAGGAACCGAAGCTGGGTGACCCAGGCACTGCTTGTTCGAATTTGGAAAAAAATCAGTCTCTACCTATTCCGGCTCTGCAGAGAATCCCCCTCAACCCACTACATGGTTAGGAAACTGAGGCCCAAACCAGAACCATGCCTTCAAGAGGCCACAGGGCAAGGGACACAGGATTAGGTCACTAGGACATGGTTACCTGTATAATGTCACAGGGATAGTCCTCACCTACTATCCAGCCCAATTCCTGCCTCCCTCAATTTCCCAGATATTGACCCCCGGCACCAGACAAACCCAAAGACCCACTCCACTTGGAAGAGAAAAAAAAAAAAAAAAAGTATGGCCGAGGGGTTGTGCTAGTCATCACCCTCTTCAGGTTCCAGGAGTCCAAGAACAAGTTCCTTCTTCCCTCAGGTCACAGGAGTCTAGGCCCCCTAGTTCCTTTCTTTCCCCAGTCCCAGGAGTCTGAGCCTCCAGCCCCCGCCTCCCAGTCACAGCAGAGACCACACCTTCCCTCTCCCCCCAGGAGACAAGAGTATGGGCTCTCAGCCTCCTCCGGTAGGCCTGGAAATCCTAGCCTTCAGACCCTAGGAGTCCGAGTGCACAGCTCCTGGGTCCGGGAGGAGGAAGGGGCGGGGTTTCTGGGGCTGGGAGGCGGGACTTGGGCCACTGGAGCCGGGGGCGAGGTGAGGACGAAGCTAGGGCACCTGAACCGCTCTGTCTGCTCACATCAGGTCTGACGGGTCCGGCTGGCCCTGCCGAAAGCGGGAGGGACTTTCACTCTGTTCTTTCCTTCTCCCCCTGCGGGCAGCAGCATAACCGGTTCTGAGAGTGGATAATTCCCAGCCCTGCCCAATATGAGGACTGTGTCCAAACCCTGGGACCAGGGTCTTGGACTCAACTTTGAGAAGAGGAAGAGCTGAGGGCACTGGGACCTGGGAGAGGAGGCACCTGGGTGCCTGTACCCTTGGGTCTTTGAAGTGGTGCATCTGAGAATCTAGACACCTGAATCCCAGCACTCAGGACCAGATTCAGGAAAATGTTTATAAAAGGGCAGGCCAGGGGCCAGCCTGTGGCTCACTCAGGAGAGTGCGGTGCTGATAACACCAAGGCCATGGGTTCAGATCCCATATAGGGATGGCCGGTTTGCTCACTGGGTGAGCGTGGTGCTGACAACACCAAGTCAAGGGTTAAGATCCCCTTACCGGTCATCTTTAAAAAAAAAAAAAAAAGGGCAGGCCAACCTTAGGCTAAAAATCAACATGATATCTAAAACCCACAAACTACTCAGAAGATGCAACACAGGATGTTTTAGGGAGGCTGCTCTAGAACCTCAAATTCACTGAGAAGGAAGCAAAACATAGCAAGACTGGGTGTAGAATCTAGAAAGCCACTGGCATGAATACAAAGCACAAACTGCAGAAAGGACATATGCTTCCACATTTACAATGTGCTTGAGTAAAATCTGCACACAAGGCTAAGTAGATGGGCATACTCTAGAACCAAGGTCTGGAACCTACAACCTAGAGCCAGACAATAATTTGAAGAGTGTCTGGGTAACTCCAGAACCCCAACACAGAGGGGAGCATAATGATACCTAAGAACATATGTAATACAGTACATAAAAAACCTAGTTGGGAGATATGATCTAGAACTCAGAACTTACTAGAGATGAACGTACACCACAGAATATAGCAGGGGTCACATTCTTGGTTTTATTATGTGTTTAGATAATGTTAGAACTTAGAGGGCAATAGATGTGCTCTAGAATTCAGAACATGCCCTGGGGGCAAAGAAAACCCTAGATAGTAACAAAGAGTTTGCCTGGAACTTAGAAGTGCTAGGGAGAAATGAAAAAGCATGCATGCTGGGGGCCGGCCTGTGGCTCACTCGGGAGAGTGCGGTGCTGATAGCACCAAGGCCACGGGTTCGGATCCCATATAGGGATGGCCGGTTCGCTCACTGGCTGAGCGTGGTGCTGACAACACCAAGTCAAGGGTTAAGATCCCCTTACTGGTCATCTTTAGAAAAAAAAAAAAAAAGCATGCATGCTGAGAACCAAGAATTTCCTGGAATAAAGACTGAGCTGGCAAAGGCAGGGGGTTATTCAGGAAATGAGAACATTTCTAGGCTGAAGACCTTCCAGAAGAAGAGAGAGCCTAGAACATGCTTAGAATGCCAAAGTGTCTGATAGAGGAGAAAGCTCACATCCACCAAGAGACAAGTTCTAAACTAAGGGTGCCCTAGGGAAAAGATGGACAGAGAAGGCAGGAATGGATGGGTCTAGAACCTAGAACCTGAGGAAGGAAAATGTAATGTGAAACACTTAATTGGGAATCTTTTTGATTTAAACCTGTGAAATTAGGTGGAACCTAAAGCAGGGAAGTGTATTCTAGAATTGATAGCCCAAATTGGAGAAAGGCTAGAGCACATAATTGGAACACACATAGCCTCTGGGAAGAGAATGAAATCTAGAACAATTCCAAGGATGTGGCTGGAACCTAGAATACACCTAAAATGAAAATTTAGCAAAGAATAAGCAAGTACTGCTTGCTAGAAAATTGGGACATGTCTGAGGAGAGGTGAGATCAGAATTTGGCTTGGGGGCATTATCTAGATACTTGAAAAGACAAATGGGAGAAGACATGCTTAGAATTTAGCATCTGGCCGAGAACTTAGATCATGCCTTGAGTGAAGATGGAACACAGACATCAGCAGGGAGTCTTCTAGTATTTAGAAGGAATCATGAAACAATGCAAGGGCACATATGTAAGTAGAAATGTGGAAGACAGCACGTAAGTTCTAGATCACCTAATGAACCTAGGCCACAAGATACATCTGGAGGAAGGGATGCATATTTGGCTCATCAACCTGAGAGAGTATACTTGGAGAATGGGACATCAGGATATGGGCCTCAGGAGGCAATGGAGTGCTAGAAACATCTCAAGAAGCTGGGTCTTAGGGGGAGAGAGTAGAGTCCCCAAACCAGCACCTGAGATGATATGGGGATGAAGGCCACAGAAGATGTGGAGTTAATGGGGGAGTCATGAGGTCATGAAGACCTGGGTCCCTAAAAGTGAGAGCTGAGGAGCTAGATACCTGGGGGGTGGTGGGGGGTGGTGGTGAGGGGCAAAGCTGGGACTCCTGAATCCTTGTAGAGGTAAAGGACAGGAGGTTAGAAACTTAGAGCCTGAGTCCTTTTTGGGAGGGAGGACTGGTGCAGACAGCCTCAGTAAAGGCTGGTGGGCAGTATAGAAGCTGCGGTCTGAAGGCCTGGGTTCCTGAGGGGATGCAGGACTGGGGACAAGATATCTAGGTCTTCAAGAGGGAGGGTGGACAGAAGCCAAAGAATTGCATTGAAAGGAAGAGAGTCATGGCGCCTGAGATCCTAAGGGAGCAGATGCTGGGATGCCAGGAGACTGAGCATATTTGTCTGAGGGGTGCTGGGACTGTCGAACTGTGTTCTAAAGGGGACAAAGACTGGGAAACTGGATTCCTAGGTCCTGATGGAACGAAGGCTATCGGATGGTCCAGCAGACGGAGTGAGCCTTGACAGGCTTCCAGAACAGGGTGGGGGCTGGATGCCTGGTGCCAAGGTCCGTAAGGTGGATAGGGTGGGAACACTCAGAAACCCTTACTCCTCAGGAAGCAGCTGGAGTCCCAGAAACCTGGGCTGCTGAGGACGGGGCCAAGAGCCTGATCAGCGGAACCCTGAAGCCCTAGGCGCCCAGGTTGGGGTGGGTACGGTTATCCCCGGGTCCAAGGCGCGGCGGGGGGGATTCCTGCGCCGCCCGCACCCCCTCCCTGGCGGCGGCAGCATGAGGTGGGGGAGGCGAGGCTGCTGAGTACGCTGACCATGGACAGCTCCAGAGCGGGCCTGTGTCCAGGGCGGCCGCCGAGCCGGCCTGGACAGAGAGACGCAGCCGGTTGTTCAAGCCGGGGGCTGGCGACGGGCAGAACGGGCAGACGGGGTGCCGAATGGGGGACGATGCGGACGCGACGGGGGGCGGCCGGCTGGAGCTGGGGGAGTCTGACACAGCTGCGGCGGGTGTCTGGAGCTCCCGGAACTGGACCGAGGAGGGGGATCAAGGTTCAGAGGGGGTCCCCGGGGCTGAACTGGGGAATCCAGGCTCCTGGGCCCTGGCCGCAGTACGCCTGGGATTCTAATGCTCGGCTGGGGACTCTGGGCGCCGGGAGGGGCACGCCTGAGTCTCTGAGGTTAGGCTGTGAAATCTGGGCTCTGGGATTCCCGGCGATGAGGAAGGAAACCCAGGATCTCGGGGAGGCGGGAGAGGCTCGCTGAGGGGTCCCCGGGGTGGTCGCTGCAAGGCGGGCCAGGCCGGGCTTTTACCTACCTGGTCCGCGGCGGCTGCGGGCGGAGCCGGCCTGCAGGAGGGACGTGGGGTAGAGTGGGGGGGCCGGGCGGGGCCCCTGGCGGCGGCCGGGGCCCGGATCTGTAGCTCTGGAGCCCGGTCTCTGCCGCTCGCTCGGGCTCCGCGTCTCCTGCTCGGGCTTGGGCGCTGGGGACCACCCTCCCCCTCACAGTCTCACAGCCTTCTACCCCCTAAAATAGCCCCCTGCCCGTCAGCCTCCCCCCACGAGGCCGCAGCCGCCAGATCCAGGGGTGCTCGCCAGCGCCCCCCAAATCCCACCTTACCCCCCCCAAATCCTTCCTCCCTCCCCCTCCCCCCACAGCTCCTGGGCGGTCGTGGCCCCTTTAAAAGGAGACTGACGGACGGCCCAGAATGGCCAATGGGAGGGGGAGTCGGCGCCGGCCGGCGACTAGACCCCGCCCCCGCATGGGCTGGGAGGGGTAGCGCGGGCGGAGAGCGAGAGGCGGGGCTCCAGGGGAGACGGCCAATAGGCGCGCAGCGTGCCGCAGCCGGGACGGGGGGTGAAGCCAGGCAAGGGGGATGATGTCACCTGGAGCTAGTAGCGAGCGGCGTGGAACGCGAGTCGCGACCCCGGATCCCGTCGGTGGCGCGCGGTAGCCCTCGCGCTGCACGGGACATAAAGTCTGGGCAGGCAGCGGGATGGTGCTAAAGGTTGGATTTTAAGGAGGAACTGGCGCCCGGAAAGTCGTGCTCCGATTGGAAGGTGGGGCGAGTGCCCGGTGGACAAGTGCACCTTATTCTGCACCCCGGTGCCAGCCTCGGGAACTGCACGCGGTACCCCCACCCCCAACTCCCACGCAGATTACAGTGTGGCGTGCCGGGCTCCCCCGGCGGACGAGACTAGTGGTTCACTCCGTCCCGCCCACGCAGAGGCTGCTCACTGGCTCCCACAGCGTTTCAGGACTCTTTGGTCAGACCCCTAAAGAGGAAGGAGCTTGGCCTTCGCCCTCAGACTTTCTTAAGGGTAGGGAGCGTTGTCTTCGGTTCTGCCCCCTCGCACTCAGCCCCAGACTGGCTCTCAGCCTCCACCCTCGGACTTGTGCCTAGGAACAAATCCGAGGTTCTTGCCTTCAGACCTGGGGAGAGGGTTAGACCTCCACTCTCAGGCTCTGAAAAGGGCTTCTTCAGGGCTTGCTCTCTATCTGAGCTCCTCTCACTCCTCCACACCTCAAGACGCTCCAGGATGCAGAACAGACACACAGACACTCCACGAGGATCAAAGATCTTTAAATAAGGAGCCAGTGACAATAAATACTGTACAAGGGAGAGAGTTAGGGTCCAGAACTGTGGTTTCAGCCTCGAGACTCCAAGGACCTGCAAGAGGGGTGAAGAGAGGGGACACAGGCTCAGGGGAGGGGCCCTGGGGGACATGAGAGAGCCAGGACTGGGGTTCCAGAGACAAGGGCCCAGGGAAGTGGGTTGAGGGATTTCAGACAGAGTAGGTTCCAGATCTTGGGATGGAAGGGAGCTGGGGGGTCCCCAGAGGATTTGGCCAGAATGGCCTGGGTGAGAGCCTGGGTCAAGGGTCAGGATCCCAGAGGAAAGGGGTCAGGGTGTGGTGACCAAGGGGCTCACGAGTAGCTCTGGTGCTGCTGGCGCCGGCGGGCAGAGCGCATCTTCTCGAATCGGGCCTCCATCTCCTCCAGCACTCGAGGCGTGTAACGCACTACCAGCTTCACCGAGCCCTGGGCCGCCTTCAGCAGTTCCACCGCCTTCTCATGCTGCTCACCCTCCACGCTCTGTGGGGCCCAACACAGACAGGTGGGCCTGAGACCAGTTGCCTTGCCTAGCCCCCACCCAGGAAATGGGACCAACTGCTGGTGAGCCTGATGCCAGCCCAGGGATGCCAAGGCCTCATGACCTCCTCATGGGAGAGTCATTAGCTCTCAGCTCAGTGTCCTCCTCCAAAGCCTTCCAGATTCCCCATGTCCCCTTCATCACTGAGCCCGACATCCAGGCCCATCTTTGTTGCCTCCCTCCTCACAGCCCACTAAGACCCTCCTGCCTTAATTCCCTCTTCTTTGTTCCCACAGCCCTCGCCCCAGCTCAGGCCTTGCTGTTTCCCCTCTGGATTCTCACTCCAACCTCCTCCCTGGCCTTCTGTCATTCAGTCTCCGCTCAGTTCATTCAGAGTCCTAAAGGGGTCTTTCTACACCTGTGAGCTGAGCTCACAGCCCAGCCCTCTTGGGACAAAGTCCCAGCCTCTCACGCTGGCACTCAGGCTCTGCGTGGCTGGCCCCAACCACCAATCCAGTTGTTTCCATCTACTCTAACCGCAGTGATTTTTTTTTTTTTTTTCTTGTGCAGGGACCATGCTAATCTTCTCTGTATTGTTCCAATTTTTAGTATACGTGCTGCCGAAGGGAGCACCGCAGTGATGTTAATTACCTGCATGCCCCAGACCTCCTTCAGAACCAAGCCCTTTCTCTTCAGCTCAGAGGAGTATAGAGTCAGAACCCTCACCTACAACACCACCCTCAGCCAGGAACATCCTTCACTTGGTTTACCTGGAGAACTTCTACTCATCCTTGAACACCTAACTCAAACGTTCCTTCCTCTGCAAAAACTTCCCACATCTACACTGGCCTGGTGCCACATCTGGGCTCTCAAAATACTTTGCATTTCCTCATTGTTGCGTTTCTGGATTAGTACTATTTCAGTCAGGGTCTATCTCCCTCACCAGAAAGGGCGTCCTTGAGTGTAGGAGCTGAGGCCAATTTCTCTTGGTGTCTGCAGCATTGCTCAGCACAGGGCTGGCCACAGAGGCAGTGCTCAGTCAGTATGTGTTGAATGAACTCCAAAAGCAGGGACTATGCCACTTTGGACAGCCTGTGCCCCCAGCGCTGCCTCAGTCCTCCACTCACCACACCGTTCACTGACAGCAGTTGGTCCCCACGCTTGAGGCCTCCATGGCGGTCAGCCACGCCGCCGGGGATGACTCGGGAGATGTAGATGGGTGAGTTCTGCTCCTTGCCGCCCATGATGTTGAAGCCCAGGCCCTCATCTGTCTTAGGCAGCTCCACTACCCTGGGATGTGCATGGCCCTCGCTGGCTGTGAAGGCAGCCACTGTGGCCTAGGACAGAGAAAGCACCCAGAGATGAGGGCCGCACCATGGTGGGGGATCTGGGCCAGGGAGAGTGATTTAGGCCAGATCACTACCCCCAAGCATGTGACACCTCACCCAACACAAGATTACCCTGTAATGATTGTATGCCACAACCCAACACAAGATCCCCCCATAATGATTGTATGTCCCTTTTAGTTCACTTTGCATGCTCTAACGTGCTAAAAGAAAGTCTCCATTTGTTGTGGGTCTTGAATACCCAACACTTGCCAACCTTGCTTTTTAACAGAGGAAAATAAGGCCTGAAGGGAGCTGAGAGGCTCCAGGCCACAACACAAAGTAGCAGCTAAGTATAGTTTAATAAGATTTCAGTGTTTAATGACATTTCATTGTTTTTGTTGTATAGATGTTTAAGGTTATCTTCTAGGCAGACATGCGATACTGGTTTCCAGTTGTAGTTGCAAAGGACGCCTTTATATGACGTGTTTAAATTTAAAGTGTGCGATTATTTGAAGGAAATTATAAATAAGTAATAGTAAGTATGGCACACAGACTTGGCCAAAATCATGAAGGAGGAAACAGGAATGACAGGCATTAAGAAGGCAGACCACGCAGTTAAGAACTAGACCATGCAGTTCGGGGGATACCAATAGCAGTGGGGTGGGGGCACCTACCTTGGCTGTGGCGTGGGCCCGAATCTCAGCACTACCGGTGATATCCAGCGTGTCATAGAGCTGCTCATACACCTGGGTGAGGACGCAGCAGTGTCAGGAAGCTGCCGGCCCCCTCCCTCCCTTAAACATAGGAGTCCAGACTCCCGGACCCCCTCTCCCTACCCACCCAAGGATCCGCCCCCACGCAGCTGGAGCCTGAGGAAACAACTCCCAAAGAACCCTGAAGCTGAAACGCTGGCATCCCAAGGCATAGTCCCTGGGTTTCTGGGCTCTGGGCGACCAGGAGGAGCAGGACGGCAGCCGCCAGCTCGTGCCCTGGCGCCGCACTGCTCTTACCTCTCGGATAGCGGAGCAGAAGCGGCTCTGCAGGACTCGCTGTAGGGCCTGCAGCTTCTGCGGGGGCAGCTCTCCGCTGCGTTGGAGCCGCTCCAGTAGCTCCACGGCCCGGGACACGTCTGCTGGGCGCGAGGGGGGTGGGGGTGGGGGTCGCAGAGACACACAGAGACCCAGAGATACGAAAATGCAAAGAACGACAGAGATGAGGCGAGAGACGGAGTAAGGGCGAGCGCAGCCAGAGCCCGGGAAGGACAGCCGAAGCTCAGCCGGACATTCCGCAGAGTCAAGGGTGGCAAGGGAGAGACTGCGGCCAGCCGGGCGCCCTGCGTCCCCACAATTGCCCCAACACAAGCACACAGAGGCAGGGGTGTGCTGCCGTCGCCCCGGCCCACCGGCCCACGGCACATCCACACCCCCACGTTCCTTCCTCTGCAAAAACTTCCCACATCTACACTGGCCTGGTGCCACATCTGGGCTCTCAAAATACTTTGCATTTCCTCATTGTTGCGTTTCTGGATTAGTACTATTTCAGTCAGGGTCTATCTCCCTCACCAGAAAGGGCGTCCTTGAGTGTAGGAGCTGAGGCCAATTTCTCTTGGTGTCGGGGCCGCGCGAGGCCACGCCCCGGGCGAAGGGCGCCGGCTGCGGAAGCGCGGCCTGGCTTGCGCTCAGGTCCCAGGCGCCGGACCCGCGACCGTGGCCTCCGCTCCGGCTGGTCCGTGGTTGGTGACCTCTCCTGTTGCAGCCTCGGTCTGCATCTCCTTCCACCTCATTCTGTTCTGTCCACCACACTTTATCCCCTCTCGTTCCTTTTTCCACGTTATTGAACAAACACATGGTAAACATCTTCTGGGCCCTCACTGCCCTACCGGAGGTTCCTGTCTGTGGGGGAGGGGGACAACCGACTGCGACTGTGTTGAGAGTTGAGAGTGGGAGGAGGTGATCTAGAAGATGAAAAAAATCCTCCAGGAAGGACACAAGAGGCGGCGCATGGGTCATCCTCACCACACAAAAAGAGCCCGTCTGTCTAGAGAGGAGAGTTAGGATTGGAGTAGTTTAGGATGAAGGTGAAAAGTTTGGCAGGATCGTATATGCATGGCTTTGTGTGTTGGCATACGCATGTTGAGGATTTTGGACTCCGTGTAAAACTCCTAACAGTAAAATGTGATATTCAAATTTGTACTTTAAGATCACTGTGGCCATCACGGAGACTGGATGGGGTAGGAGCAAGAGGGTAGTTAGGAGGCTATCCCAGCCATCCCCATGGTGGCTTGTACCAAGGCAGAGGCATGGAGGACAGGACAGATGTGGAAAGTGTCTAGACACCTCTTGGTGCTTTCGGAGGTGGTGAAGAAGGGAGTATTAATTGCTTTGGTGCCATTTGCTAAGATGGTCTATGCTGGAGGAAGGATACTGGATATTTTGAATTTGCTGAGCCCGTGCAGTTTCCAAGAAGAGAGGATATCTAGGTCTAGAGCTCAGAAGAGCCATGTGGCCTGCAGGCAGTTTTGAGAATCTGGGTATAGATGGTATATAAAACCATAAGTATGGACAAGAATGCCTGGGGCAAGAGAATAAAGAGGACCTAGGACTTGTCCCCGAAACTCCTACCATTTACAAGTCAGGAAGATGGCAAAGAATGACCAGAAAAGTAGGAGGAAACCCAAGTGGGTGAAACCACAAGAAGAGAGTGTTTTTAAAAAGAGGAAGTGGTTGGTGGTATCAGATGCTCTAGAGAAGCCGAGGAAATGTAGGACATACATACAATATCTTTGAGAAGTCTGTTGCCCCACCATCTTCTGGTTTAGTTGAGTGGGGATATGGGGTCCAGAAAAGGCTTGTTAAAAGTGGGATGACTACAGCACGTTTGTCTAGCACTCTCTCCTTTATAGTATTTCTCTCTTCTTCTTTACCAAAAAATAATGTACTTACAGGGTTAAAAACAAAATCAAAGTAATGCAGAAGGGTTACTAATGAAAAGCATCAACCCCTGTACCCCTCCTAACTCTGCCCACTTCAAGAGGCAACACCTTATAGATGTTTAGTCTGAGAGTAGCTCCTGTATCTAAATAATTTGCTATTTATCAACTTAGATGTAATATATTACATATTGATTTTCTGCTCTTAGCACCTTTCCCCTCTTCCCATATTTTTATGGTAGCAGCTTTTAGTTCTATCAATAAAGGATTCACATTATGTCTACCCGTATATTGTTTATACTGTAGAGCCCATGTAGTGTTCTGTGATTAGATTTCCTTTCTTGAACAGCTTCTTGCTTTTTTTGTACCTTTGTTTTGTTTCTTTTCCCACATTCTTTTTCAAAGTCTCCAACACAACAACTGTTTTATTTCTTTCAAAGTCTACAACACAATGATTTTATTGAATCTTCTTTTTATCCCAAAACTTCTTGGAAATTTCAGTTCTCTTACCTCAATCTTGACCAACTACTCTCTAGAAACGGCCATCATGGGACTTCTCTCCACTGCTCTCCTGAACTGGATCAACGTTTCTCCTTTCATTTTGGTGAACTATTTCCAGAGTTAACTTCCTAAAGATTGTGAGATGTCTCTTACATTCAAGAAAGTTTGTCCAAGTCTATTGCACCTCTAGTTTTTATAACAGGAAGACTCCAGGTTATCTAGTATCTAATGAACTACTAAATCCACATACTAAATTCTTTTTTTGGGGCAGCTGGCCAATAAGAACCCTCCACCTACTAAATTCTTAATTTATTGTGTTTTCCAGTCTAGAATTTCCATTTGACATTTTTTTTTCTTATAGATCTGTTAAAATGCCCCATCTTTTCCTTATTTTGTGAACATATAGTTATTTCAGTCTGATAATTCTATCTGAATCAGCACTTGGCCTATTTCTATTGTCTCTCTATCCCCTCTTGGTTTTCAGCAATATAAGTCCTCTTTCTAACATTGTGGCCTTCCTCCAATATTGTGACAATTTGGGTATCTCAAGCAGGACCATTACTGCACAGTGGGCCTTGAGCCCCACCCCTCTCTAGAAGTGCATGGCTGCTGAAATTTCTGCTCAGCTCTTCAGCCTCCCATTACTGCATTCTGATGTTTCCTGGAGGGTCTCGCCATGACAATGAGTGCTCAGTAGTAGCTAGCAAATGCCTCAGGAAGATTGTATATACATTTGGTAGTTCAATGCCCTCCTACCTAAAAATTTTGCCCTCAAGTCCCAGGTGCCTTGTGGAACCTCTGTGAACTGGGCCTAGTGGAAGACTTCCACTTTGATAGTCTATTCCCCTATGCTAAAATGCTAAATGTCAAAAACAAGGGTAAGAAAAAAAAAGGTGAAAAAAAGGGTAAAAGCACCTTGTGTGCTTTCCTTCTCTTAGGGACCATACCTCCTCTAGTCTGGTCTGCACTGGCTGCTCTCCAATGCCTTTTGCAAGTTTTGTGTTTATATATATATATATATATATATTTTTTTTTTAAAGATGACCGGTAAGGGGATCTTAACCCTTGACTTGGTGTTGTCAGCACCACGCTCAGCCAGTGAGCGAACCGGCCATCCCTATATGGGATCCGAACCCGGGGCCTTGGTGCCATCAGCACCGCACTCTCCCGAGTGAGCCACGGGCCGGCCCAGTGTTTATATATTTTTGTCCAACCTTTATATAACTGGTCTGTGACATGTTAATCCAAAATAGGCTGTTCTTAGCCAATATCTAAAGTCTGGTTGCAACATCTGGGATATCTATGGGAATATACTAGAAGCATTAAGTTCTTTTATTTTTAAAACATTTCTTCCAGGATCAGTTTTTGTTTGTTTTATGGTCTCTAGTTGCAGTTTTTTCTCAAATGCCTGGGTATCCTTGGTTGAATGCTAAAGACTAGGCCATTAGAAGACTAAACTCCAGGGGCTGGCCTGTGGCTCACTCAAGAGAGTGCGGTGCTGGTAACACCAAGGCCATGGGTTCGGATCCCATATAGGGATAGCCAGTTAGCTCACTTGGGAGAGCCTGGTGCTGAGAACACCAAATCAAGGGTTAAGATCCCCTTACCGGTCATCTTTAAAAAAAAAAAAGACTAAACTCCGGGCCGGCCTGTGGCTCACTTGAGAGTGTGTGATGCTGATAACACCAAGGCCACGGGTTCAGATCCCTATATAGGGGGTAAAAAACAAAACTAAACTCCTTGTCTGTCAGATTTAACTCAGACTGCCTCTGGGTTATTAAGCCAAGTCTGGCTTCAGGCTGAGAAACTTCTAAAAGACAAAAGTAGGTCTTAGTTTATACTTGCCGAGGCAGCAGACACCCAGCTCCTGGGTATTCTGACTGCTGGAAGTGAGGCTGACTGTTCTGTATGCAAGCTCTACCTCCTGTCTCCTACCCTTGTTCTCCTGGAGTTGCAGCCTTGACGCCCAGGGTTCAGCAAGGAAACTGGCTTCCTTCTCAATGCTCACCATACTAAAGTGTTCTCAACATCATCTTATTTAATCTTTTGTCAGAACTTTGCTGTAATCTCAATTGCTGATGGAATCTCTTCTGTTTCTGCTCGTTATTCCTCTACTATCATTAATAAGTACGAAGTAAAAATGACCGTCATGAACTATAGGCCTTTTCCACCCTGGCTTTGCCCAGGCTTTCTGCTCTACCCAATCCTATCCATACACCTCACTTTCATTTTTCATTTCCTCACCCTTTTCCCTGCTCTTCCATGCAGATAAACAGCTTCTCTTTTCTACATTCAAAGTTGCAGCTCCTGCTGGGAAATTTAGTCCCCTCCTATAACCCCCCCCCCCACAAAGATAGGAGTATGAATAGCCTCACAAGGAATGTGTGAAAGAGGGTAGAAAAAAGAGAGAGAAAAACCTAAGGGAATCATGCTTGCAGAGGGCTTCCTTACCCCATTTTCAACAGCTGTGGTACACCAGGGCTAGCCTCAGCCTTAGGCTGTTAACCTCAAGCTCTAGCCATGCCTTGGAAAACATAAACTGAAGTAGGGCTATGTAAGTCAGGTGACAACCTGCCGGGAACGACATTAAGAGCAGTGAGGAAGAAACCAAGATGCCCACTATGAACAGGAAATTAATTTTATTTTTAAATCCAAGGGGTCAGAATAATGAGCCTCCTATCCTAGGAGAGCAAACTTAGGTGGCCAAGAAAGTAGGGGAGAAGATGACAGCAAAGGTGTGGGCAGGAACACGTCCAAAAAGAACAGGTGGAGAGAACCTCTTCACTCTGGCGCAGTCTCCATCAGATACCCGTTCTCTGGAGCAAGATACCCATCGCCTCCCTCCGACTCCATATACATGTCTCGGCCATCGTTGCCCAGACCCTCCAGCCCGTTGTCCTGGCCACCCCCGCCCCCACCTCGGGCCTCATCCCTGCCCCGCTCACCACCCCGCTCGCCCCGCTTGTGCTCTCGATCACGGTCGCGATCCCGGTCCCGGCGCCGCTCTCGCTCACTCCGGTGGCTACGTCGTCGTTCCCGGTCACGATCCCGGCCCTTTTCTTCTGGACCATCAGGGCCATCAGGACCAAGCTCCCCAGGAGGCCCATCGTCAGGAGGTGCATCACCAGCCTCAGAGGGCTCCGCCATGTCGCCTCCACCAGCACCGCTGCCGCGCAGCTCCTCCTTGCGCTCCCGTTCCCGCCGAGCCCGCTCCCGGCTCCGGCTGCTTCGCCGCTTCCGTTCCCGGTCCTTGTCCTTGCTCCGCTCCCTAGAGCGCCGCCTCTCCTCCTTGTCTCGACTCCGTGAGCGCCTCCGCCGGTCCCGAGAGCGGGAGCGTCGCCGTTCTCGTTCCTTGTCTCGCTCCCGGCTTCTCTCTCTGCGCTCCCGCTCACGGTCCCGGTCCCGGTCCCTGTGGGG